ATGCAACCTAGGGTAGGTCATTGGAAGATCCGCCCCTGAACAATATAGCATTGCCTTGCTAATGGATGATGTTCAACGTATCAGACAACAATTCACATCTAGCATCCCTGTTCTCGTGACTTGAGATCAAGTTAAGTTTGCTTATAAACTTGCAATGGAAACAATAGTTTCTGAAATCAGCATAAGTATGCCTCCTGTTCAGACGAAGACTTGCCTTATATGTTTCGATGAAGATTTCGAAGCTGAGCAGATGTTTTCTGTTGGTTTATGCGGTCATCAATTCTGCGTGGAATGCGTTAAACAACATATAAGAGTGGGAATGCTGGAGGGAAGTGTGATGAGATGTCCTCATTATTGCTGCGAGACTAAGCTTACTCTTACAAGCTGTGCCAATCTTTTGACACCTAAACTACGAGAGATGTGGGAACGAAAGATGGAAGAGGAATCTATTCCTGTGGCGGACAGAGTTTACTGTCCAAATCCGATGTGCTCGGCTTTAGTATCGATAACAGGGATCTCTAAATCTAGAGGAAGCTGGATTTATGAGAAGCTGCTTCAAATGTGGTAAACCCTTTTGCATCAACTGCAAAGTTTCATGGCATAGTAACTTGTCGTGTGACGATTCCAAGAGATTGGGTCCAAATCCTATGAAAAATGATATAAAGCTCAAAGTTCTAGCAAATCATAAAATGTGGCAGCAATGTGAAAAGTGCAAACACATAATTGAACTTTCGGAAGGATGCACCAATGTAACTTGCAGGTATAACTCTAATCACATTCTTTTATAGTCCATATGCGATCTGATTACGTTTTCGCCTAACCTAATATTGTAATTTCATGGTTGATGTATAGGTGTGGGTATTCGTTTTGCTACACATGTGGAGCCGAATGGAAGGAAGAAGGTTGCCCTCATCGAGAAAGGTATCTTGACGACGGATGTGCAATTTGTGTTTTTCTCTTACTTCTTGATGTTGTTGTTATAGTAATTATTCCTATTATAATTATAGAAAAATGATCAGTTGTGTAGATTTTTATGTTGCTAATAGAGAAAATACTTGACCAAAAAAATCAATAGCCAAATGGTTGAGTTGGAAACTCATGATCCTTACTTGGTGTTTTATGGACAAAACCCATCTCGTACTTTGTACCATTAACATGAAACATAGTAGAAAGTTTTGGACCATCAACAACTTTTAGGGTGCTTTACTAAAATAACCTTACAAAGTTGGTTTTTGACTAAAATGATATTAATCTTTGAAAATTACTCAAACAACTTTGAAAAACTATTAATACTTGTTTTAGCCTTATTTCCTTTGAAGAAAAAAACGTATTTACAAGACTGCCATTAATGAGCTAGCAAAATTTTCCCGCCAAAAACAAATAAGTCTACCGTTCATGTGATGGTAGATTTATTTACGAGTGGTAGATTTATTAAGTGGTTGGTAGACTTATTGATGGTTAGCGCGATGGTAGACTTATTTATAGTAGTGGTAGATTTATAATATTGTGGTAGACTTATTTGTAGTTATGGTAGAGTTAATTTTGTGATCGGTAGACTTATTTCTTGTGGTGGTAGAGTTAAGTTTGTGATTGGTAGACTTATTAATGGTTCGCACTATGGTAGACTTATTTACAGTAGTGGTAGATTTATTTTGGAGTGATAGACTTATTAGCAGTGGTGGTAGAGTTAATTTTGTGATCGGTAGACTTATT